AAAGCTCAACTTCTGCATTAAACTGAAAATTTTCAGATTCTTTTTGCTTCCATAGAAGTAAGGTTAGAAAAGGAAGTATACGACAGATCCATTGCGTCCAATCCAAGACACAAGCCTTGCTTACCAAACATATTTCTCTAAAAACGAAGATACCCTGGCATATTACTATCGTTACAGCTCTCCAGTAAGAGACAAGTTTCATTTGAAAAAAATTAGGTGGTGGAACCTTACGAACACAGAATCTACACATGGATTTGAAGACCAAAAGCTTAAAACTGAAGAGAAAAAGATAACTCACTTCTCTACGAAATGAAGCTCAATAGTGAAAAACGCAGCATACAACGTAGCCGAGTGAGGAAATAACCGAAGCGAAGCCAAAATTTGGGTACGAGCATTTTGAGGACTGGCGGCAGAAAAGAACTGCCATAATGCGAAGTCTCGCCGTAGAGTCTCATTCCTTCCATGAATCTGAAAAAATAGATTGCGAACACTTCGCCTAGGCATATTTAGGAGCTAATTTTCAATCTTATCAATTGACTGATGAAGGCTAAGAGTAATAGAATAATACTCATCATAGTGTGCAATTATATGTAGTTTGCATCACTGGAAATGATCAACCTTGTTGAAGATTCCTACAAAAATTTCGCTGCTATTAAGCTATTAGAGCTTCCACTGGTTCTTATCATTTAGCTCACCAATAATCTGAAGAGTTTTTCGATAAGATATCTAATAAAGCTGTTACATTCAACTGAATAAGGGCAAACAAGTAAGACAATAATGAATCCTCTTAAATGTGTTTTCCGAGCTATAGAGAAAAATCTAAAGAGTCACTATAAATCTAATGAGAATATTGATATACTGAAGGAGAACATGCAGATATGCAACGGTTTGAGTATTACTGGTTGGAAATCCTGTTCCATTTCACCATGAACAAAAGTCAACGATTTCAAAACTATTTCTACCAATTTGAGCAAACCATAAGAAATCATAGATTTGCTGTTTCTACTGTTCCAAAGCCGTCATATCGTGTATTAAATGCATGAAGTTTTCCGTTATTCTTAAACCTCACTCATTTGTAGACTTTAAACAGGCAAATGAAAAGTTAGAAAAGAAAAGGAAAAAGGCTAAGAGAAAGCATGAAATGCAAATCATTCGAAAAAACTGCACACCTGTAACGCTCTTGTATAAGCAGCTGCTAACTCCCGTCGCATCGTGTGCTTATTTAAGAAATTGATTAACTTTTCCCAACGATGAATATCTCCCTGAAGCACAAGATAGTTCAAAAAGTAAAAATAATATAGATGAGCTACAAACCTGGAAACGATCAGCTGCTCTTCTATATATGCTAGCTACTTTCTTAAGCATCGGCCCATCTATAAGTTTTAGTTTGTGCCAATACTGCATTTTCGTTCTTCGCGACTTGAGTAAAGCAAGAAAGTCGCACAAGTAATCAGCGTAAAGGTCAAAATCCCTAGGTGTTTTTTCCTAAAACAACATGTAACTCCAAGCAACTAAAAAAGCCAGTATTTAGAAGGCAGTGTAGTAGAAACAAATAAATAAACAAAAAGAAAAGTCGAAGTACTCACGTGTTTGTTGAGCCTGTACTCGAACTGCCGGCAACGTTTGATGAAAGCACTTACTTCGCTTTCTGTGAACAACTGAACGAAGCTGAGCTGCTCGAAAGTTGGGAGTAGGCTTTCCAAACTCTGTTCAACAAATTCCCCCATTCTGAGAGTTGGTTACCTGAAACACTAAGCGGATATTAGTCGAGGAATCCGGATGACAGGATGTAAAGGGGATGTTTCAATGCACTTAATTTACTACGGCAGTAAGTTTGACCCACTGAGAACGTTGCAAGAGGAGCACCATTTCCTAGTGGAGCTACAAATTGTCACTTCAGTGCCATTGCGTTATAAAATCGAACAAATAAAAGCCGAGTAAAGTGGATATTTCTACGTTTTATGCGTATAGAACGAATTACACCAAATGGAGAACTTTCGACTGAGAATGCCTCACACTCAGCACTTATATCGCACTTATTTTCCGCGAAATTCTCAAGTTCCATGTCGCAGCCCCAAAGGCTTGCGCTAGGAAAGCGGACCTATGAATTGCATATAGAAGGGTTGTTCGTCAAATAGTACATGAAAAGGCAGGAATTGGATACGACCGTTGCATGCCTACAACTTTTACGTCTCTTGTTTGTTGTAAATAGAGATATTCATTAGTAGCGTTTGGAATAAATAAAGCTTGATTAAATACGTAGCACAACCAAATATATAGTGCGAATAGCTGCAGACTGAAAGTTCTCAACTTAAAATTCGATGGGAATGTGAGTCAGACATCATCGTTTTTAATGGAAGAATGTGCTATGCAAAATTTGAGGATATCTAATCTGTGGGCGCATTAATTTTATCACATTTTTACCCACGCATAAATATTTGTGAGTTATCAAAGCAGAAGTTTACAGAATTCATAAAGTCATTTGTAGGATTTTTTGATATATATTATGAACAACTAATTGATTCGATCTGAAAATTCAAAATTCCGTTTCGATAACAAAAATGATTTGTAAGTAAAGAAGAAAGAGATGTATCCAATGGTAAGGAAAGGGGTAGCCTTTATTTCGGACAAATCGTGATAATCCTCAATGGTCTGTTTTTGACGCTAATAGTGTGGAAACATTTGTAAGCTGCTGAACCTTACGAGTGATGCAGATTTCTGATAAGAAAATAACAACAACTATAGAAATATGGAGCTGTTTAGTTCAAAGAAAGTAAAGGCATACAGCAACAACCAAACTTGAATTTATTTCTTGCATAGCTTAGTTTGAGTCTACTGAATTGTCGCACTTTTTACAAGTCGTTGAAGGAATTAAATGCTTCTTGGGATTTTGGACAACTTCCAATCACCAAGTTAAGCGTGATGATAGACCAAAGCTGCAAAAAAGGGTCAAGTATGTACCAATGGGAACTCCGAAGAGATAAACGACAACCCACCGACGCTGAACCACACGGCCTCCGCCATCCTTTGAATCTCCTATGACGATAGCATCGTGCCTGTTTTGTACCAGCATCTCTACTGTTGCCCTTTCACAGAAAAATCATCGGCGGAGCATCAATTGGGAAAAAAAACCAGTTTTTTTCACTCTTGCAACGACACTGACTATTTTATCTAATTATATTCAGACATTCTCTGTGACAAACGATACAAAAGCAACATTCACATTCATAAAAAAATAATGTGAGTTCATGTAATATCAGATCCAAGATTTCAGTCCAAAAGCACTACATGTTCAAAGTGTAATAGTATTTGTACAATAACTACTTGGTAAGTCAACCTATATCTTACATTTATCCTTTGCTCTTTACTAATTCCTAACATTCTCTATATTGTGGTATATTGTGAGAATACCGTTTCTCATGCTCTTTGCTTACAGATCGCACAACTTCGATAACGCGCGTAGCCTCATAAGGAGAGGAGGAGCCGGCTGGAGGAAGCCACGGGCAGAGAGGAACCAAGGACGATGCGAGCCGGCTCATTTTGGCCTTCCTATTATTTGTGTTCATTTCCTGTCGCTGTCATGTGTCGCTGTATTGTTGAAGTATTATCGAGTTAGGAGATAAATCGTATGAAGATTCTTTTGTGGATGCACGTCCGAGGCTTTGTGAGTTAAGAGATATATGTCCAACGGGAAAGAGGACGATAGGACATCTATTACTGGTAGCAGCGAGTGCGGCCTCAAAGTAGCCCGCGATCTCACCAATCTCTTCCTCTTTATTAGTTTCTGTGTCCTTCTAGGAATAGCCTAGAAGATGACCGGTTTAACCTCGACCGGGAGTAAGTTTGTCTTGGAAATAAAGTCACGTGGAGTCTAGAGGATGGCCACCTCTTCGACTAATAATCTTTCTTTATTTTCTTCTCAATCTTCCTAGTGATTTGTGATTGTCGGTGAGATTTTTGTGAATTTGGATAACGACACATAGGAAATAGGTAATTTATTTGTTCCTCTATCATCTCCTCGTCACTTATGGACCAGAAAAGCAGACTTATTGCAATTCTTGACGAATTGAACGTGTTCCAACGGTTAGTTGCTGGTGTAACACAAAATAACGTGAATTGAACATAAATTGACGACATAAAAAAAGGATTTTAACTAGTTTTACAGGAAAAATCATAAATTTTTGTTGGAAATTGTAACGACTTGTGTATAAGAACGTCAAATGTTTTTCGACGTACTATGGATCTTTGTTAGACATCTTTCTCATGTAAATTGTGTCAGTCTTCTCCGCGCCGAGACTCTTTGCAACTCACAACTCTTTGTCTCCAACAAACAAGGTTTTATATGCAGCTGCTCGCAATCTTTTCATGCTTCAAATTCCTATTCATGCAATTTCGAAATTTTCCATGTGCGGTAGCATCCTTGTGTCTTTGTATTAAGTCAAACTCCACAAATATTTCTTTATCTCAGCTTTGATCAAGCACATGTTGCCAATGGCAAAGATGCGGCGAGCATAAAGGACATGCGCAATGGAGGACCGTATATAACACGCCAAGTTGAAAGAGCGGTACCATTCCTCAGCGAAGTACCTCATCTACTCCG